TTAGAAAGAGAAAATGATGTTCTTGTGTTCTTGGAAGAAAACCGTGTTTCGATCTGAAAGTTTGTATCAAGATCCATGTTTTTGTGTTTGTTTTCATAGGATCTTCAAGTATGGGTAACCAGGTCCATGTTTTCAAACTCATCTCATGAAATCTCAGATTTTGAATAAAGAAGCTATGATTTTAGCATTTATGTTCTTCATGTTCTTGTCCTTCATGTTCTTCAAGGGAGGAAACCCAGATTTCTAGACTCCACCTTTCCTTAGGTGTGGTCACTGGGACCACTCTTGCCTAGATCTCACACCTAGGCTAAGCATCGTTTCTCACCTTGGCCAACCTTGCATGATCACTTGCACCTTAGTCTATCTTGCATGCACACCTAGACTAACCACTGCACACCTAGGCCAACCATGGTACACCCTTGCCGACACCTTGTAACACCTCGACAGGCAGCTGCACACCGAAGCCTAGGTAACCACACCTCGGCCAAGAGTCGTGGGACCTCGGCTAAGACCTCTTAAGTTCACCCAGCTAGGTCATTTTTCCCTAGATCATCTCTGTGCATCCATTCCAAGACCTGGTTGGTACCCAGCATGTTTTCCCTAGATGAAAAACAGTGATTTAACTCCCAGCATGTTTTCCCTAGATGAAAAACAATGATTTAACTCCCAGTTTGTTTTCCCTAGATGAAAAACAATGTTTTTACTCCCAGCACATGCTTTGCTTTGTCTTGACTTGGTTTTAGAAAGAAATGCCGGGATCATTTTCATTCATGAAAAGCTTGTTTTAAGAATGCATTTCATACCCATCTTTGAGCATCTCTTCTTGTCTTCTTGAAGTGCATTCAATAGACTTTATTATGTATTTGTAGGTCTTGGATCCTTGCCTTAATCCCTACACCCGAAGAGCTATGTGAGTGGTATTTTTAATAAAGCTATGTTATAAAGTTTTGATAAAGCTTTGCTTCATTTTGGAAAAGTATTTGATCAAGCATGAATGATTATCCCTAGTTTTTGTATCAAGTATTATCTTGTTTTGATGACATTCTTGGATGCTAGGGGACTTTAAGCCCATGTAGCACCATGTTTGAGAGATCTCTGCCATCGACGGTCTTGTACGGATGGCCCCACCAACGGCCTTGTGCGGGTGGATTTGTCTAATCGATTCCGGGTCGATTATTCCCTTGTTTTGTCCGGAATGTCATTCCCCATGTATTATGTAGATGCTATTAAACATTCCAAGAAGATTTGAAAGATTTGATTGATGAACTTGATTCATCCCATGTTTTGTTACAAGCTATGATATGTATTGTTTTGATAAAGATCTCGGATATCATTCATTCAAACATTTATTAATTATATCATTCACTGAGTATCCAAGCTCACCCTCCCCTTTATATATATGTAGGTGGCAAGCAAGAAGGCGGTGACGCCTAGATGTTATTTGCAAGTTTTTTTTGGATTTATTTTGCTAGCCTCTTGAAGATTATGTTTCTTAGTTGTAATTCATGTCTTTATATATTTCGGCTTGAGAAGTCTTTTGATCAAGATGTAATATGTATTTTATTTTATTTGTATCCAAGTTGCAAACCATGTTAAAATGTATGTCATTTCATTTAATCTATGCATAGCTTTTATGGACTAATTAGATTTAAATTTATTGCTTCCTCACATGTAAGCCCCATATGTATACTCTTATTGTGTGTGAATCTTTGTAAGTTGGCCTTTGGTAATCTCGAATTACTGGCCATCACGGCACCATTCTACTAGGGGCGGAATGGGGTCGTGACATGATTGGCTTGTGGACCAACTCAAATTACCTTACGGCTTTCTTTGCTTTAATTCTCTCCTTCAATTCATCTCCCTTCCTCTTCCAATCCTCTCCCGTCGGCTCATACCCTGACCCAAAAGCATGGGGGTTATAGCGTACTTCTTTGGCAATAGTATTCCCTTACCTCCCACTTCTACCCAATCCTAATCCGAGAAGGTGTCCTTGTTTGTTCATCATATGTATAGATTGGGTGCTCACATAGCCCCCACATCCTCTACTATGATAGTCTGCACCAATCGTGCCTCTACCAAGGAGAACCCAGAGAGGAACACATCATCTTCTCCATGCAATATTTCCAGCAAGGGTGTGGTGGTTTTTGGGGGAGGGTGGATCAAAAAATTGCCATAAACAGTCGCAATCCCCCTTTTAATGGATACTTCACCAATTGGTGTACCGTTGAAGAAACCGCCTTCATTTGGTGCAGCCAAGGTCTGCCCAAGAGTAGATTAAAGGTTGCTGTCACGTCCATCACATGGAATTCAACCTTATGTTCCGCTGGACCAATCAATATTTGGCTCTTAAAAGTTCCCATGACATTGTGGCTGGTATTGTTCTAAGCTCGAACAGCTTGAGTCGTAGGCGTGAAGTCAGCTGACTTCAAGCCTATGGCATAAGCAGTTCGCGCCGGACATACATTAATTGTCGAGCTGGTGTCCACCAACACTACCGGGATCCACTTCTTCCGGCTTTCCAAGGTTACATACAGAGGTTTGTTCTGGTTAGCCCCCTCGAGCGGTAGCTCTTTGTCTGTGAAAGACAACAATGGAGTAATATCTCCAGATGTGACCAAAGACACCAATTGGTTGGGTGTGACGTCTATAAGCAGCTTGGTCTTATTTAGCGCCTCCAGCAATGCCTGCCTGTGTACCAAGGAAGCCATCGCAGCCCCCAAATTGAAACATCTGCCTGGATTTTCTTAAGTTGCCTCAACACCAAGTCTTCTTCTATCTCCTTCTCTTTCATCTTCTTGACCTCTTTCTTGAAGTGTTCTCCTTGGTCTAAGGCTGGGGATTTGTAATAGGGACCACTTCTTGTCATGTTGTTGATCTCTTCCGTGTACCATGTATTCTCAAGGGTGCCGATCCCCCACCCTTCATCGATGTAAGCAAAGTTTAGATCCTTGTCCTCCCACCATTCTCCCGCGGTCATTGCTGGACCACTGTCTGGCTCTACCCGAATCATGTTCACATCACGTTTTCCACCATTAGGTAGATATGGTGAGTTTAGGTAGATTCCTGAAAGGATCTCTTTTTTCCTTGTTTAAGTCCATGCTCTGTCAGCATGCTGCTTCTCCTCTGAGGCTTACTCAATTTCTGCCTCTCGATAATGTTTTAGTTTCCTTGTCATCTTCCCTCTGTTACCAAATTCCTATTCAAACTTTTCTTTGATTTTGACATCGCTCTCCCCTGACTCGACGTCCTCTTTTCCTTTTCCTTTCACTTGCTCCCGGGCTAGTTTTGATCTCTGTATCTCCTCCATTCTCTCTTTTTGAAATTGTTCCAGCACTTGCTCCCTTTCGGCGATGGTCATGTTCTCAGACTTGTTGTTCCCATCAATTTCTCCTTCTTTATGTTTCTCTACGTCAGATTCCTCTTCACTGCTTAACCACCCATGGCTAGATTCTGGCTGACTCGGATCCCACCATTCAATCTGCACACTTCCCACATCCTCTTCCTCAAAGAAATAGAGGTTCTCTAAGTCCTCCTTTATCTCTGTTAAGTCATCAAGACTTTGTTCAGGCCCATTTTCTCCAACAACATTGATGCTGTATGAGTGCGGTAGTATGATCATTGGCTTTGGTTGGTCAGAAGCCACAATATATTGACTGGGATCATACTTTTCCATGGGTGATAATCCCTTCTCCACAATCTGAGTATCAAACAACCCTTCTTTCAGTGAATTTTCAATCTCTTCAGCTGCTGCCACCACAGGCTATGGTTGGGTTTCGGGTGTTCTATCCATCATGCCCAAGTCCGTGCCTTCAAGAATAACCACCTCAAGTTTAGGCAAATGAGATGGGGTGATGTATATGCTGGGGTTGAAGGTGGGTGATAGTGTTTGGATGAGGTTGATGTTTCTAGGTGAGGGGACTTGGTTGTGGATGGGGAGTGGGTTGGTGGTTACATTTGGGTTTAGGGATGGAGCTATGATTTTATTGTCGATGAGATCCTGGATCTCATGATGAAGGCGAAAACAACGGTCAGTGGGGTGACCTTGCTGCTAGTGGAAGATACAGTATTGAGCGGGGTCATGTTTGGCTGGAAGTGGGTAAGGGAGAGGTCGAAGATCAAGGGGCTTAAGATGCCCTTTGTCTATCAGAACCTTGAGAACACAAGTTGGACTCATGTGAAGAGGGGTAAAGGTTCTAAATTGATTTTAGGCTGGGCCGGTGGTTTGTGAGGTTGTGCTAGTGAATGGACCGGCTATCTTGGCTATTGTGGTGACGATACTGATTTCAGTAGGCCTAGGAATAGTGCTATTGCTAGCATTGGTACCCCTAGTAAATGGCCTCTTTGCCCGTTAACTTGTTCTCTGGATAATTCTCTTCTTGAAAGCGCTCTCAATCTGAACCCCTAACTTATTTAAAGCAACGAAGGTAGATAGTAGCGCGACTATCATCCTCTGTAACATGTCTAGTTCAAGGTTTTGAACTACCAATCGAACCTGTTCCCTTTCTGAAGGCCTGTTTATCATTCGGGCTGCCTTTGCCCTCCATCTAGCAACAAAGTCCATAAAGGGTTCCTTGGGATTTTGAGAGGTTGCTTCCAGTTCGCTAGTCGTTACCTCCATTTGACCATTGTAGGAATACAGATTAACAAGAGTTTTCATTCTCTTCTTCTAATTAATTGAACTTTCAAGCAAATAAATTTCCACAACCATTTTGAGTGTGTTTTCCTGAATTTCAGCTGCTTTAAGAAGGCCCTGCAAATCCTAAATTAGTTCATACCTTCTACAACTACTTTTATTTTATTTTATTTTATTTATATATTTCATAATAGGAGGGGAATAGGTTGTTTATAGAGCCAAAAAAAAAAAAAAACCTAGTTAATTTTTTTTCCCCACATCCATGGGCAGTTAAAGATCCTTAACTGGCTTCTGGACTAACCTGGTTGTTCAATACTGAATTGCCAACATTTACTATTTCACCAAACATTGTATAAAAAAATCAGTCTAAATAAAACTTCACCTTTCGAATTGTCACTTGCATTGCAAATTCTTAATATCATGACAAGTTGATAAGAACAGCCAAATTAAATGCACACAAAAATAAACTAAAATTACACTCTGAAATTCCCTTCTTACAAGAACAAGTATCTTTGGAACAAAATCCAACTTCCAAGTAACTTTTTTATTTCTTATTTTTTTATGACACCAAATTCAAGTAACTTTCAATTATTTTTTCCTGAGAAAAATCAGTATAATATCCCTTTCCTACAGTCAAACCCTCTTCCCCTGCAACCCTCTCGACTTCAAGCTGAACCAAATCACCGCCAACCCTACTTGGTTCCAACAAGTTACAAGCTACCTCAATGACATCTTCACCGTGAGCAAGTGCCATAGCTTGCACAGATGGTAGTCCTTTACCTCTCCCACTTACCCGCTTTGCGATTCTACGAAGCACGACAATATCAGTAGAGTACACTGGAACATTGTAGTTATCGACCCATGGCGTTGCTCCAATTACAACAATGCCCTTTGCTTGAACTGTATAAGCTGGACCCTCATCTGGCTTCAGTGCCAAGGGCTCTGATTTTGGGCCCCCTGCCCACAGGTTTCCAGAAAAATTAGGCTTGAAATACCCCAGCTCTCGTCTGATTGAATCGAGTGTTCTTCCCTCTTCATTGGCTGCTCCATATAAGAAAGCCGGTACTGCAGGCTCATAATGTTTAATATCAATGGCAACACAAAAATAAAAAAATAAAAATGAAAAAGAAGATAAATACATACGCAGAATGGAAAATTTTCTGATACTCAGTTCCACTATCATATAAATGTGCATTGACACGCACACAAATAAAATAAAATAAAATCAAGGGGCTATTTGGATGTTCATGATATCTCAATTTCCTCATATAATACATGATTATGTGTAGCAACAAGAACTAAGATTTTCTTGCCTAACAATGTCTAAATTTCCAAAATCATTGTCACTAATGTGGGGTGGTGGCGGAAGACGGCGGTGGAAAATGGTAGCGGGTGGTGACTAGTGTTGGGTGGTAAAAAAAAAAACTGAAAACTCAAAATGGAAACACATTTTTTGTGTTTTCGTTTTTTGGCCAAATTTATAAACTAAGACCACTGATTTATAAAACAAAAATTTTACCAAACAAGTTTTTATTTGAGTTTTTAAAATTTTTGTAAATATAACAGAAAACTGAAAGCGTAAGTGTTACCAAACGGCACCTTACTATTTCACCAAACATTGTATAAAAAAATCAATCTAAATAAAACTTCACCTTTCGAATTGTCACTTGCATTGCAAATGCTTAATATCATGACAAGTTGATAAGAACAGCCAAATTAAATGCACACAAAAATAAACTAAAATTACACTCTGAAATTCCCTTCTTACAAGAACAAATATCTTCGGAACAAAATCCAACTTCCAAGTATCTTTTTTATTTCTTTTTTTTTTATGACACCAAATTCAAGTAACTTTCAATTATTTTTTCCTGAGAAACATCAGTATAATATCCCTTTCCTACAGTCATACCCTCTTCCCCTGCAACCCTTTCAACTTCAAGCTGAACCAAATCACCGCCAACCCTACTTGGTTCCAACAAGTTACAAGCTACCTCAATGACATCTTCACCATGAGCAAGTGCCATAGCTTGCACAGATGGTAGTCCTTTACCTCTCCCACTTACCCGCTTTGCGATTCTACGAAGCATGACAATATCAGTAGAGTACACTGGAACATTGTAGTTATCGACCCATGGGGTTGCTCCAATTACAACAATGCCCTTTGCTTGAACTGGATAAGCTGGACCCTCATCTGGCTTCAGTGCTAAGGGCTCTGATTTTGGGCCCCCTGCCCACAGGTGTCCAGAAAAATTAGGCTTGAAATACCCCAGCTCTCGTCTGATTGAATCGAGTGTTCTTCCCTCTTCATTGGCTGCTGCATATAAGAAAGCTGGTACTGCAGGCTCATAATGTTCAATATCATTGGCAACACAAAAATAAAAAAAATAAAAATGGAAAAGAAGATAAATACATACGCAATATCAATGGCAACACAAAAATAAAAAAATAAAAATGAAAAAGAAGATAAATACATACGCAGAATGGAAAATTTTCTGATACTCAGTTCCACTATCATATAAATGTGCATTGACACGCACACAAATAAATAATAATAAAATTAAGGGGCTATTTGGATGTTCATGATATCTCAATTTCCTCATATAATACATGATTATGTGTAGCAACAAGAACTAAGATTTTCTTGCCTAGCAATGTCTAAATTTCCAAAATCATTGTCACTAATGTGCTAAAAAGTAGTTGCACAGCCAAAAGCTATCCAAAATATTGTACTTATTCCAAGGGTACAAACCTCGCAAAGCGGAGCCAATATCAGCTGCCAAAGATTTTGCCATCCCTGCCGTCTGGTCCAGAGAAGAACTACCTAAGGGGTGGAAACAAATATGGTCCACAACCCCAAGGCGGGGATGACTTCCACAGTGCGATTCAAGGTTAATGGCTTCAAAAGCAGCTTTAACCATGGCAAACACAGTGCTCTTCAAAGGACACTCGCCTGAAGATGGATTTGGTGACAACTTGGAGACAAGGGTGTAACCAACTCTATTGTAAGTCTCATCTTCAAACTTGTTGACAATGGCAGCTTGAGGGAATAGCTTGGCAGCTCGTTCAATTGAATCAAGGGCAGCCCTGTTTCGGCTTTCAGATATGTATACCTTGCAGCAAGCAAGCATCAACATTGACATTCTGGTTCTTTACACTACCCTTCACAAACTGCAGAAAAAAGATAAGACAAATGTGAGAAAATAACACCATAAAGGATTTTGTGGACACCGTTTCTCTTGGACCACAATCTCTTCTAGTCACCAACAGGCTGATGGTAAAAGTAAAATTTCATGCAACATCATCAGTTAAAAACAAAAGTTTAGAAAAAAAAAAAAAAAAAAGCAAATAAAAAAAAAAATTAAAAAGAAAAAGAAAATGCTGCTATTAAACATAATCACCGGATTCAATTCGGAACATTTCTTATCATGCAACAAATTACCCATTGATTAATACAACACAGAACAAGAAGACAGAGAGTACAAAAAGAATCCATAGGAAATGAACTTGTCTAAAGTTAAGCTGAGTTGCATCCACACCAACTTGATGCATTTGCTAAGTTAAAGCATATGCAAAGTGGCCAACAAAACAAGCTCAAAAATATTTCCAGGAGTTACACTGCATTTAAATAACACATCTAGTGCAAATGACTAAAGTATACTGTTTTGCAGCCAAATGGAGTGTATAACCTTTTGATTTGGAAAATTAGGTGAGAAAACAAATAACAAGATTATGGTTTCTCATCTAAGTAACAAAAACATAAGAAATAATTGTGGGTTCTCACTTCTCATCATTGTAATAGGATAAGCAAGAAATAAAAGAGAACACATGTTTCATTCATTTTCAATGCTTTGAATTTGGATAGGAAGTAAAAGAGTTGGGGCAAAAAAAAAAATCTATACAACAATTTCTGTTACTCACCAATTTTAGTGAGAAACAAAACATGATTTTTAAAAAGATTTCTCTTTTTAACCATTCCTGACCTCCTCAATCATTCAAACAAAACACAAACAAGTGATGGGAGTTCTCCTTTTTCCTATTTATTTTTTATTTTCTTTTTTGGTTAATGTGTCTTCTAATTTTAAATTGATTTCAACTAGTTGAATCGTTTTGATGGTGAGTGTAACAGTCTGTTTAGATTGAGGGGTTTGGTGAGAGCGGGGGGTTGGTTCAGCGGTCGGATGTCGGCCCAAAAACCTTAATCAGCAAATTAACAGCAATATATGTATGAAAGAGGACCCCAAATGCACAAGCACACAAACACAGATTCCCATTCAGCTAGCCAGAAGAGTCACAACCCAAATAACAATTTAGCAATACAAATCAACCCAATACGCCAAAACAAAAGAATATAAATCTTCATTATGACTAAACATTACCAAAGACAAAAACCAATACATATACCATTGAATCAACTGATTAAGCCTGTTTCAAAACTCAATACTATTAACATCCGAAGCCTTAGGGTACCCACTGTACTCCAATTTCACATTCAAAGAGGCACAAATAGACCTAAATTTCAACCTCAAAGAGTCCATAATTTCGTTGACAGACTCGTTTTCAGGGTCCAAGGTCGGGTATTTTCGGACCAATTCGTCCATTGTGTTGATGCTTTTTTGGATCCTAGAAGTGAAGCAAGTGGGATCGGCACGAATAGCGGAGTTCCAGACATCGACACAGCCCCTGTAAAATCCTAATTCTTCGCCGATTTGGAAGCCATGCTTGAGACCCACTTGGCGACCCTCGTCTTTTCCTGAGGCTAAGGCGTCGTTGTAGCCCTCGTTGAAGCCTTCGTTGAAATGGGTTTCTTCTAGGTTCAGAGAGGAATCGAAGATGTCCTCTATGGAATTGGGTTGTTGAGCATCCATGAGTTGAGCGTCTTAGATTGAAGAGATAGAGAGAGAGAGAGAGATTACCTAATGGAGTGTGTATCTATATTGGTAGTCCCAGAATGCGTCTTGTTATCCTCCATCCGAACTCCAATCTGAACCCTCCAATTTTACGCCAATAATTGATTTTTGTTCAAGTGAGGAGTGATATTATCACTGTACTTCCTCACCCTAGGTGTTCATAGGTTGATTTGGTTGGATTTGATATTAAATTTACAATCAATTTAAATTCTAATCAGTTCTGAGTTCTTAGATTAAAAATCAAACCATTTATGTATCAAAATTAACTCAACCCAATACAATATAATTCAGATTGATTTGGATTGGAATTACGATTTCACCATATGAAAAAAAATAACAAATCAATTAATAATAAATAATTAAAATAAACAAATTTTTAACATTTAAACATAATACAAACAAAAAATAAAATATTATTTAATACAACTTAATACAATTAAATTGAACTCAAGTTTAAATATAATAAATATAAATCAAATCTATTAATATAAAAATATAAATTAAATTAATTGCGAAATTTGACTCAAGTTTTTAACACTTTCTTGGTTTATCTAATAATCTTTGTATATGAAAAGTTATTAAGTGTAATCAACTCCATTGTAATAGAACAATAAGATGAAAATATGTTAATGTAAATAAAAATTTAAAATATATATAAATAAGTTCAGTTTTCGGGTTGATTCAGCTTAGGCAAAGCATAAACCAAGAATCAACCCAATTCTATCGGTTTGATGATTTGAAGATCCAGAACCAAACCAATGTACTCAAAAACTAAACCAAACCAACCCAACCCAACTCAAGGAGATCGGTTTGGATCATTTTTTCAGTTCACTGGGTAATTTAAACACCCCTAACTCCACATTATCAAATGTATATAATTATTTTTGTTTTTGGTTTTGGTTTTTTTTTTTTTTTTTTTTTTTATTTTTATATAGTTAGTTGTGCCACAAAATGTGCAGTTGTCCATCTCTAAGTAGGAGACATGGCCCAATCTCAGTCGTCCCCCGTAGGAAGCATTGTAGAGAGCTTCGAGGAAAGGATCTGGATTTAGACATTCGGCTTAGAGCAACTCCAACCACACTCTCTACTTTTCACTAGCTAAAGTACGAAAAAAAATACACTCTCTATTTTACCTAATTACTTTGCTTATTGTATTCTTCAACTACGCTCTTTTATTTTAGCTAATCATTCAACTAACTTAATTAATTTTTAAAACAAAAAATACTAATTGCTAATATTTTACTAATATAAATTTGCAATAATAATAAATTTGCTCATACAAACATATAAAACCTGTAGAATGAGGATAAAAAAATACAAAATACAAAATAAGGTATTCCATAATTCATCAAACAGAATTGAAAGAATATATAAAATTACTACATACGCATATACATATATAAAATTTCAAATCTAAGACATAAATATATAAAAATTTAAGATATATACATACATATTTGTTTGGAGAGCTTGTGGGGCTCTTCAATTGTAGCTACCAAAAAAGTAGGATGGTAAAGTAACTAGCCCAATAGCTAGCCCATTGGAACTCAAAATTAGAATTACATTGGCTAAAATGCCTAACAAGCCTTTTTTAACTATCCCCTTAGAGATGCTCAGCTTGTTCATTTTATTTTAATAATTTTTGGATAAGATGAAATCAAGTCAATCAGATAAGTCACTTGATTAAATTATATTTATTTGAAAAAATATTAACAAAAAAGGTCTAAAATGAGCTGATAGTCAGGTCAGACTAGACTGTCTAATTGGATATCCTAATTAAAGAGAATTCAGTCGCTAATAAATTCTATAATTTTGACAAAACTATATTAATTTCCTTTTTGCTAAATTAAATGAACCAAAATTAACATAGATGATGTGAAAATATAAGAATAAATAAAATAAAATATACATTTCAAGATAAAAAACATGACAATATCATTTTGTAGTTTTTGACCAAAAATCCATCAAATAAATTACAACTTGTCAAAAGTTCAGGCCAACAAAGTTTAAGGCTTAAGGTCTTTCATTTTATATTTTTATTGTAAAAATGATTAGTTGGACATTTTTGCCCATACGTCTCTTATTTTTTACTACTATCTCATTTCTCTCAAAATATTCAGTGTGTTTGGTTTTAGTTTTTTGAATTCAGTTTTTTAAAAATTGAGTTTTTTTTTCGTTTTTTTTTTTGTTTTTACTGAATATTTTTAAAATTTTAAGTAATTTTTTTACTTTTTTAGATGCACCTTATTTAGATGTATTTAAATAGTAAAATATTTGTGAAAAAAATATTTTAAAAATTAATAAATACACAAAAATACGAAAAATGTACTGAATTTTCATATTTCTTTAATATTTTTTGGTATTTAATGTATTTTTTTTACAAATATTATACTTTTTAAATGTATTTATATTAGGTGTGTTTAAAAATTAAAGAAAAAATTACTTAAAATATTAATCGTATGCACAGTCTAGCACTGGAATCACTAATATCTCTCACCGATCCACCATCTTCAATGTACTGTCAACAACCATTATCAACATTACCTCTACCATCTCAAATCTGAGACCGATAACCTCAAATTTATGCTCTCTCCCCCTCTCTTGCCCCCGTCCTATAATGCTTTTTTTTTTTTTATATATGTATACATAAATAATTTTGGTACATTCCTTGTTTAAACTTAACTTAAAGACGGTTTCTACGTGGCTAAATGCATGGATTTTACTTTCACTACAAAAAATTTGACTTTTTACAACAGCAAAATGCCGTCGCAAATACTCCAAATGCCATCTCAAAAGCTTTTTTGTGATGGTAGATGACTTTTAACGACGGCAAGTAGGGGGTCGCAACAAAGGGCGTTGCTAAAAAGTTTTAGCGACGACACAATACCATCGCCCTTTTTTGCGACGGCAAAGTTGTCTTTTTGCGACGGAATTCTGCCGTCGCCAGTAATATGTAAAAATTTGAGATTTTTTGAGATGGCACTGTGTTGTTGTCACTAAAAGTGTTATTTGTGACGGCAAAAATGCCGTCACGAAAGTGTTTTATTATGACGGGTAACCTGCCGTCGCTAAAAGTTTATTTGAGACAGCATGACGACGCCGTCTCTAAAAGTTATATGCAACGGCAAATAAAACCGTCGCGAAAGGTTTTTTTCAACTTTTGCAAATATCTTTTGCGACAACATTGCTTATGTCGCAAAAACAATCTGGTTCTAATGTTTTTTGAGACGGTGTAGTGTCGTCTCAAAAAAAAAAATATTTCAATAAAATTGTTAAACATATGAAAATTACATGTATTAAATGAAAAATAACTGAAAAATGAACCGATAATTACATAATAATATAAAAATTCAAGTATAAAAATAACAATTCATCCATAATAAAAATATTCTTCCATTCATAACAATACATCAGCAAAATTATCCCACTACATAATGTTGCATAATACATATACAATGTTTAAATACATAATGTTGTTCACAATTCAAAATAACGTAAATAAAAAACAAAAGTTTCATCATGATTCTTCCGTGGGTAACAAAAACAAAAATTAATCGCAATCTTCACACGCCTGCATTTCACAAGAAGCAAACTGCTACTGGAGAAATATCTGAAAACAAAAAATAAAAATAATTAATGACAATATAATTATGTGTTAATATTTTAATTACAAAAAAAATTAAAAATTAACTACTATATAATTACAAAGATAATTAAGTAAATAATTTTGACTAGACAGAAATCCAGCTCTAACACCCAAACTGGGAACCCGATTCGACCCCCGTCTTCTCCCATTAGTCTCTCGTGCCTAGGCGGTCGTGTGTGCCAAGTTTTGTGCCAATCCGACCCCCTCCCGTTTGGTGATTTTGGGGCGTCAACACCTCGAATTAAAGTTTCTTAAGGAACTATTTTGCCTAGAGTGAAAGCCGACTCTAACTCCCAAACCGGGAACCCGATTGGAGTCTCATCTTCTCCCACAAGTCTCTCGTACCTAGGCGGTCATGTGTGCCAAGTTTCGTGCCAATTCGACGTCGTTTGGCGATATGGGGGCATTAACACCTTGAATTTAAATTTCTTAAGAAACTAGTTTGCCTAGACCGAGATCCAGCTCTAACTCCCAAACCGGGAACCCGATTCGAGCCTCGTCTTCTCCCACAAGTCTCTCGTGCCTAGACAGTCGTGTGTGCCAAGTTTCCTGCCAATCCGACCCCGTTTGGTGATTTTGGGGCGTCAACACCTCGAATTTAAGTTTCTTAAGGAATTATTTTGCCTAGAGTGAAATCCGCCTCTAACTCCCAAACTGAGAACCCGATTGGAGTCTCGTCTTCTCCCACAAGTCTTTCGTGCCTAGGCGGTCGTGTGTGCCAAGTTTTGTGCCAATCCGATGTCGTTTGGCGATTTTGGGGCGTCAACACCTCGAATTCAAATTTCTTAAGGAACTAGTTTGCCTAGAGTGAAATCCGGCTCTAACTCCCAAACCGGGAACCCAATTGGAGTCCTGTCTTCTCCCACAAGTCTCTCGTGCCTAGGCAGTCGTGTGTGCCAAGTTCGTGTCAAACTGACACCGTTTGGAGATTTTGGGGCATCAACACCTTGAATTCAAATTTCTTAAGAAATTAGTTTGCCTAGACCGAAATCTGGCTCTAACTCCCAAACCGGGAACCCGATTCGAGTCCCATCTTCTCCCACAAGTCTCTCGTGCCTAGGCAGTGGTGCGTGTCAAGTTTCGTGCCAATCCGACGCTGTTTGGCGATTTTGCGGCGTCAACATCTCGAATTCAAATTTTTAAGGAACTAGTTTGCCTAGAGTAAAATCCGACTCTAACTCCTAAACCGAGAACCCGAGTGGAGTCTCGTCTTCTCCCACAGGTCTCTCGTGCCTAGGCAGTCGTGTGTGCCAAGTTTCGTGCCAAACCGACGTCGTTTGGAGATTTTTGGGCGTCAACACCTCAAATTCAAATTTCTTAAAGAACTAGTTTTTCTAAACCGAAATCCGGCTCTAACTCCCAAATCGGGAACTCGATACGAGCCCCGTCTTATCCCACAAGTCTCTCGTGCCTAGGCGGTCGTGTGTGCCAGGTTTCATGCCAATCCGACCCCGTTTAGTGATTTTGGGGCGTCAACACCTCGAATTAAAGTTTCTTAAGGAACTAGTTTGCCTAGAGTGAAATCTGATTCTAACTCTCATACCGGAAAACCGATTGGAGTCCCGTCTTCTCCCACAAGTCTCTCGTACCTAGGTGGTCGTGTGTGCCAAGTTTCGTGCCAAACTGACGCCGTTTGGAGATTTTGGGGCGTCAACACCTCGAATTTAAATTTCTTAAGGAACTAGTTTGCCTAGACCGAAATTCGGCTCTAAGTCTCAAACCGGGAACCCGATTCGAGTCCTGTCTTCTCTCACAAGTCTCTCGTGCCTAGGCAGTCATGCGTGTCAAGTCTTGTGCCAATCCGACGCTGTTTGGCGATTTTGCGGCGTCAATATCTCGAATTCAAATTTTTAAGGAACTAGTTTGCCTAGAGTAAAATCCGACTCTAACTCCTAAACCGAGAACCCGAGTGGAGTCCCGTCTTCTCCCATAGGTTTCTCGTGCCTAGGCGGTCGTGTGCGCCAAGTTTCGTGTCAAACCGACGTCGTTTGGAGATTTTGGGGCGTCAACACCTCAAATTCAAATTTCTTAAGGAACTAGTCTTTCTAGACTGAAATTCGGCTTTAACTCCCAAATCGGGAACCTGATACGAGCCCCATCTTCTCCCACAAGTCTATCGTGCCTAGGCGGTCGTGTGTGCCAAGTTTCATGCCAATCCGACCCCATTTAGTGAGTTTGGGGCGTCAACACCTCGAATTCAAGTTTCTTAAGGAACTAGTTTGCCTAGAGTGAAATCCGGCTCTAACTCCCAAACCGGGAACCTGATTGGAGTCTCGTCTTCTCCCACAAGTCTCTCGTGCCTAAGTGGTCGTGTGTGCCAAGTTTTGTGCCAAACCGACGCCGTTTGGAGATTTTGGGGCGCCAACGCTTCGAATTCTAAATTTCTTATGGAACTAGTTTGCCTAGTTTGCTAATGGTAGACATGACCTTTTACACCTTGTGTTTTGCTTCTTTGTGTGGTTAAATTCCAGCCTATATGAATAAATAAGCAAAAGCAAACCTAAAACGCACTTCCATATCTATGATGCCATGAACACATCAAAATGCTTGTATTTTTAACCACTCAAAATCTCATATTAATAGCTAAGGGAACAATCAAGATTCAACTACCTACTATATTTGCATCCATTAGTAGTAATAATTAGTAACTAAGTATAAAAAATAGACATAAATGACTTTCAGGTTTTGTGCATATGGTTATTCTCGAATAACTAACTTATATCCACAAACTTGAAGCTAGCATACATCCACAACTTGAAGGATATTAAAGAATTTCATTTTCTAAGGGAGAAATTAAATATTAAGAAAATATAATCTGAATTAATACAGGATAAAATGCTACCTAATATTGAGAATGATGGTGCAAATTATGCAGAGAACCATTCTTCATAGATACAACAACAATGTTGCATCAGTTCAGGGCACCATGGCTTGGATATACGGTTTTATGCAAAGGTTTATGAAAAATTAATTTATTGACTTATTTCTTTTGAATATAAATTAATAACTCATACAAATAAATGCTATACTAATTTAGCAAGATGAGTAAACTGTTTTTGAAAATTCAAAACCAAATAGAGTAGCATTGTGAAACTTGACAAGGCCATCAAATGGTCTAGATAATGCATCATCACCTGATTAACTAACTGAATTTTAAACTTATCTGGATTTAACTTCCTCTCAACATGAAATGCATATGATACTTGGGCATCCATCCCTGCACAGACAAAAAAAAATGAAAAGAAATAATAATAATTATATTTAAAAAAAAAAAGCTCTGAAAACACCAAAGTAATAACAAATGATACTTATAAGGAGTCATCATGCTCTCTAACATGTTAGAAAACAAAAGGATAATCTTTATTAAAAAAATTTATCTTAGTGAAAGAAAAAATCGTCTTATTTTTTTGTCTTTTAGTAACCCAGGTTATGGAGAAAAAAAAATGAAATCCTCTCTGAGTTACATTCTAAATTACAATGATAAAAAATTATTTGGATAGTCAGCCTGAACTGTTTCAAGAGGTGAGGGTTAAGAAATGTAAGAAGATAAATTATTGAGGATCACCTTATTTCAAGAGGGACTTTGTTTCACTCTCCTTGAAGAAACCAGGTTTGTGATTATGTAGATAACAACCAGCCTATACAAACATCTCTGCCTTTATCCAGAGGGACTTTAGCCAAAAAAATTTCCCCAACCGCTAAAGCTTGATATCCAAATCTCCACCTTCTTTTGATTAACCAGTGAGTCGACAGCCCTTTAAGAGTTACATGAGCCAAATTAATCTGCAAAATTACATAAGGTCAATCCAATAAATTAGTCTGATACTAATAAACCTACAGAAAGTCAAGATTTTGCATACACCCCCTTTATGTTATTGTTAGTCAAGGTTCCCTGCATTTTTTTTATTATATATATATATATATATATTGGGTGAATAACATATATATATATATATATATAACAAGAAAGCACAAAAATAAACACAAAAGGGAGAACATAAAGAACATGGAACTTTTTGTCTACCTATTATGGTCTTCAAACATTTGCAACACTCCAATTATTTTACACCATATATACATTGTTTAACTACATTTTTTAAAGGAACTTTGAGGCTAGAGATGCTGAGACTTACCCTAGTGTAAGGGACAAATACCTCTTTGAAGCTTACCTCACAGAAGCGCAAACACATGCAACAACCAGATTTTTAATTAAGTGTAAAGATTCTCAACAGTTCGTTGTCAAATTTAGATTGACCTACATTAAATGACTGGAGGAACAAATTTGATTGAATTTAATGACACTCATATCTTAATCTTTTTTTTCTCTAATATCTTTCATCCGTTGTATTTAATATATTGACGTATACACAAAGAAACATATATATGAAGATATGCAAACACAATTTCAGAAAACATCATCCCTTAAATTATGTTACTCCAATCCCATTAAATTAGAGCCATGTAATTAAAAAATAATAATTTTTATGTGTAACAGTTTTAACTTGTAGGAAAATTTTAATATACACTCCCTTAAATTAATAATTTTTATTTTAACTTATAGGGAAATTTCAATATACACTCCCTCAAAAACAATCATATAACTCAAATTTGAAGCCAAAATTCTGGACGCACCCATAAATTTTTACAACTCTAAATCCTCCAAACCAAACTTTAACATAATATACAAGAATAAATTCAAGAACAGTTCTCTCTAAAAAAAATATTCAAGAACAGAACATAGCATTAAATTCAACAAAAAGGACCAAAAAAAGAAGAATCATGCAAAGAAACTTGACTGCATTACACAATCATTAAACACCCTAAAAAGATCGTGTAAAAGAATCATATCATAATAGCAATTATTCTCTCAGAAACAATCATATAACTCAAATTCCAGTACAAAATTTTACAACTCTAAACCCTCCAAACCAAACTTTTAGCACAATACAAGAACAAAATTGAGCAAGTATTCAAGAAAGATGATGAATCGTGACCTGTATTAGGTTTGTCAAGCGACACAACGCCATTAAGCAAAATTGAGCAAGTATTCAAGGGACATAACACCATTGAAGGTCTAAGAGTGGAGCTAGGGTTAGGAATTTTATGGGTGAAGAGGACTCGAGTGTAACACTCTGATGCATGACTGGTGTATGTAAACATATATATTTGTCGCTGTCGTGGCTCGACGCCGTCGTCAGCTATGCTCACAGTCGCGAGAGAGAGAGAGAGAGAGAGAGAGATGGGAATATTTGGTAGAAAAGATTAGGGGTTTTGGTTCTAAGAGATTAGAGATTTTGGGTTTTTTTTTGTTTTATTTTTGAGGGGGAGGTTGGGTGGGAATGGAAAAAAAAGAGGGGGAACCAAGCGGGATTGGGAATTTTTTTTTTTCATCACAAATGAATATTTAAATAATAAAATGGTTTTTTTTTCGATGGAGGTTGTCGTTGTCAAAAAATTTTATTTTTTGTTAAAATAACTTTTTTTTATAGTTAATGAATTTTTTTTTTTGATTTTTGATTTTCTTTTAGTTACTAAGATTGAGAATTTATTTGTTTCATTTTTATTTTAATGAATAAAAAATTATTGTTATTATTTTTTATTTGGTAGAAGTAGGAATAATATTTTAATGAAAAATATTTTCCATGAAAATAAAGTTATTTTTTTGTGGTCAATGAAAAATATTTTTCTGCGACCCATTTTTTTTTTGTTGCTAAAAATCAGGAACTAATTTTTTTGTGGTAGAGGATAGGGAGTGGCAGTAGTGGTGAAGGTGGTAGATAAGAGGTGATAGTGGTGGTGGTGGTGGCAACAAAGGAGATTAGTGGTGAAGTTGTGGTAGTGGTAGAGGAGATAGAGTAGCGGTGGTGGAGGAAAGGTAATGGTAGTAGTGGTGGTGGTAGTGGAATGGTGGCGATAGTGATAGTAATGATAGTCATAGAAGTGGAGTGGCAACAATGGTAGTAGTGGTGGTAAGAGAGAGATGAGTGGTGAGAGAGAGATGAGTGAGAGACAGATAGAGAAGAGAGATAGAGAGAGACAGAGAGAGAGTGATGAGCGAGAGAGACATACAATGGTCGATAAAAGTGCATTTTTTTGTAGTGGAGAGCTCGGTAAATAGAGAAGATGGAGGGGGGAGAGTGAGCAAGGTGAACACAATGAGGGAGAAAGATAGACAGACATACACACACATAGAGAGCAAGAGAAAGAGAAGAGTGAGAGACACAAAGAGAGAAAGAGAGAAAGAGAGAGAGAAGAGTGACGAGTGAGAGAGAGATAGAGAGAGAAAGATATATATATATATAGAGAGAGAGAGAGAAACAGAGATAGAGAGACAGACAGACAAAAAAAGAGAGAGAAATAAAAGATGAGTGAGAGATAGACAAAGAGAGAGAGAGAAAGAGAGCGAAAAGAGATGATCGAGAGAAAGACATAGAGAGAGAGAGAGAAAAGAGAGAAGAAAAATGAGTGAGAAAGACAAAGAGAGAGATAGAGAGAAGAGAGATGAGAGAGAGACAAAAAGAGAAAGAGAAAGAGAGACAGAGATAGAGACAAAGACAAACAGACAGACAGAGAAGAGTGATGGGTGGAAGAGAGAAAGATAATAGAGAGAGAGACAAAAAGAGAAACAGATAGAGAGTGAGAAACAGAAAAAGAGACAGAGAGAGAAGGGAGATGAACGAGAGAGAGAGATAGAAAGAAAAGAGATTAGCGAGAGAGACATAGAGAGAAGAGAGAGGAACGAGAGAGACAGAGAGAGAGAGATAGAGAGAAGAGAGACGAGCGAGAGAGACAAAGAGAGATGAGAGATGAGAGAGATAAAGAGATGAGAGATGAGCAAAAGAGATAGAGAGAGAAAAGAGATGAGAGAAAAGATAGATGAGTGAGAGAGAGAAATAGACAGACAGACAGACAGATAGAGAAGAGTGATGAGAAAGAGAGAAAGAGAAGAGAGAAGAAGATGAAAAAATGGGTGAAAAAATATAGACAAAAAGAGAGAGAGAAAAAAAGAGCGAAAAGAGATAAACGAGGGAGAGACAGAGAGAGATGAGTGAGAGAGCGAGAGAAATAAAGTAAAGAGAGACAGAGAGAGAAGAGAGATGAAAGAGATAGAGAGAAAAGAGATAAACGAGAGACACAGAGAGAAAGGGAGAGATAGACAGATAGAGAAGAGTGATGGGTGAGAGAAAGAAAGAAAAGAGAGACAGAGACACATAGAGAAAGAGAGAGACAGACAAATAGAGAAGAGTGATGAGTGAGAGAGAGAAAGAGAAGAGAGACAGAGACACATAAAGAAAGAGAGACAGATAGACAGAGAAGAGTGATGAGTGAGAGGGAGAAAGAGAAAAGAGACAGAGACAGAGACACATAGAGAAAGAGACAGACAGACAGACAGAGAAGAGTGATGAATGAGAGAGAGAAAGAGAAGAGAGACAGCGACAGAGAAAGATGAAAAAATGGGTGAAAAGAGAAATGTTCAAAAAAGTATGACAACATCGTTTCTTTTTTGTTTTTGTTTTTTTTTTTGTGACAAAAAAATACCGCTGCATTTATTTAAACCATTTTGTGACTATATATATGAAGTCGTCTCAAAGCCACAATATATATATATATATATATATTTACTCTTTTTTTTTTTTTTGCAACGGTACCTATTACAGTCGCAAAAAACTCACATTTTTTTTTTGCGATTGTATATACATGCCTTTTTTTTTCTTCTTTTTTTTTCTTTTTTTTTTGCGACTGTAGCTGGGACCATCATAAAAACTCTATTTTTTTGCGACAGCAATCTCTGCCGTCGTAAATACTCTATTTTTTTTTTGCGACAGCAATTTCTGCTGTCGCAAATACTCTCCTTTTTCGCGACAGCATTTTATGCCGTTGCAAATACTCTATTTTTTGTGACGACAAGTTGTGCCGTCTCAAAAAGTCATATTTTTTTTGCGACGGCAAGTTGTGCTGTCTCAAAAAGTCACATTTTTTGCGAGGGCAAGATGTGCCGTCACAAAAAGTCACATTTTTTGTGACGGCAAGTTGTGCCGTCGCAAAAAGTTTCGTCTTTTAAGCCCCATTTTCTTGTAGTGATTATTGATTATTTTGCTCAGTAGAATTTTATTCTATTTCAAACATATTTGAAACCAGCAATATTATATTTAAAGCTCCGGTTTTTTAATTTTGAAGGGACATTTGTCTATATCATTTTTTATGGTGATGATTTTGGCTTAGATAGCTTTGACAAGACGTTTGATTCAGTTTACAATTTAATTTAATAATAAAACTGCATTGCTCAAAGTTGCAGCTCATCCTATTTGAAATCCGTTTCAGCGGCTCTGCAACATCATCTCTTCTCGTTTCTCTCTTGCTCTCTCTTCAACGGACCACCATCGAGGTAATGCCACTTCTCTCTTGCTCTCTCTTCAAACCTCACCTATTTCAGCATCTTTTGTTCCAATAATTTTTCAGTAATCTTTACTCTAATTTGTGGATATCTTTTGTTTCAATAATCTTTAATTTCTAGCAGATTTGTCACATAATAATGTTGACAGCATGTTGTCCAATTTAATTGCTTTATTGATTTTTACAGTTTGTGATTGAAACATTGTGTCTGAAGCATTGTGGACTTCTTTAAGACCTTTCATATCGAAACATTATGGTAAGAATTTGATTTGTGTTCTTACTTAAACATTG